CTGCTCCGCTTTGACCACTCTGCCTCACGGCGCACGCTGCCTCACCCAATACAGTGCCAGCTGTCTGTGTGAAAAACAAAAAAAACTGCTACTCCTGTGCCATCCCTGCGCCGCATCTCTGCATCAGCACCTGCCATGTTAGCCCCGAACCCGTCCAAGCGTTAGCCGCGCAAGTGGCGCGCGGACGACTGGCCTTGAAGATGACGCCGTTCTCGAGCCTGAAGCGGATGCTGACAATGCAGTGGTCCACCGTGCCAGTTCACTCTGCACCACTCTGCACCGTGCTAGCTAGCCCTACAAGAGGCGGCGGGCGACTGGCGACTGACCTTGAGAATGACGCCGTTCTCGAGTCTGGAGCGGATGCCGACGATGCAGTGGTCCACCATGCAGTCGCGCAGGAAGCACCCGTGCGAGATGATCGACCGCTTCACCTGCTCGTGCACAGCAAGGCACGCCCCCATGCCACCACGCACACACACACGCACCCGGAAAATGCGAACAGCATTGACGCAAAGTGAGTAACGCGTAGCAGATCACAAGAGAAAGAAAGGAAACAAAAAAGCACATGAAACGCTGTAAGGCACTAGGCAAGCTTTATAGCAGATACTTTGGGGAAGCAAGTGGCATATTGGCAGGCAGGGGCGGGCATACCTGGCAGCGCTCGATCTGCGTGGGCGGCAAGTAGCGGGGCGACGTGTAGATGGGGTTGGAAGCGTCGTAGAACCTGAACTTGGCGTCCTGTGGCACGGTGCACGGGAAGGGAGGGCGGGGGGGGGGGAGAGGGGACGAGAGCAGAGAGGGGGGACTTTATTGTACAGAAATGCATAGGGTTCAATCGCTGATGGCCAAAAGAGGGACGGGCAATGAGTGAATAAGACTCGGGCATTCCAGGGGACGGATACCGGGGATGGGTGAGAGGAGTGGCAAGTAGCGGAGAGCGGAGAGCGGGGCAGGTGACGGGACTGCGCGCATACGGCGATGGTGAGGTTGGGGGTAGGCGAGAGTGGAGGAGAGTAGGCGAGAGTGGAGGAGAGTAGGCAAGAGTGCGAGAGGTGAGGGGGGCTGCACGTGTACGGTGAGGTTGAGGTTGGCGTCGAAGAAGGACTTGATGGTTCCAATGTCCTCCCAGTACCCGCCGAAACGTTGTACTCGATTTTTGAGGCGCCTCAAAGGGCATGTGAGGGGGGCTGCGCGCGTACCGTATCAGTGAGGTTGAGGTTGGCGTCGAAGAAGGACTTGATGGTTCCGATGTCCTCCCAGTACCCGCCGAACAGGTACGCCTGCACGTTGTACTCGGCGGCCGACGCGGGGATGATCTCTCCGCCGAAGTCGTTGGACGTGGGGAAGCGCCACCTGCGGGGGGGAGCGGGGAAGCGTGACGGCAAGATGCTCGCGTTACATGAGCACAAAGCGCGCATCGAGGCGGGACGGGAGTACGTGGGAGGTGCGTCGGGAAAACTTGACAAGCAGCGGCGGCATTACCCGAAGAGGCGAGGCGGCAAGAATACGTGAGTAGGGTTACCTGAGGAGCTTGAGCAGGATGTCCTTCTTGAAGACGTAGATGCCCATCGACGCAATGTAGGGGAACTTGGCCGCCTCGTCCTTGGAAATACCGAGGATCGACGTGTCCACCTCCTGGTAGACGGCAGGCGGACGGGAGGAGGGGAGGGGGGTCAACATGACACGAAAAATGAGGGGGTGCAGATAGAGGGCACGGCACGACCTTAGGTCGCACGTGTTCGCAGACAAAAACATTAGCGGGGAAAGAACGAAATACGCGCTAACATGCATCTGTATGCCATGCTCATCCACTGAAAGAGTAACCAGCACCAGGGTATGTACGCGGTAATAGCGCACGGGAGGCCGACGACTGACGGGTGAAGCCCTTCAACTCACCATGGCCTTGAGGTCGGCACCCTTGGGCTTCTCCGCGAAGCTCACGACGCGGCCGGACTCGTCGATCTTCATCAGCCCGAAGTCGGACGCGCGGCTGCGCGCAACAATAGAAAATCACGCGTTAAGGCACTGGCACTCTAGACAGGGACTCGACGCATTGCAACGCTTGAGATATTGCGATGGTATGATGCGGCATGGTATGGTGTGGTGTGGTGCGGAGTGGTGGCATTCACCTGTCGTCCATGGGCAGCACGGAGATGGTGATGTCGGCGTTGGTGTCCTTGTGCTTCTGCACTCGGACGCAATCAGGAACACAAAACCATTGCAAAGCTTGTTAGTAACTATGCAAAACAAAGTCCCTAATCATAGCGAAAGTGGAAAGCCATGACATGCAAGGTAGTCGGGTACATTGTTCAAGACTCGAACATGCACTGATGCTCAGAAAGGCCGGGCGCATTGCCTGCACAAGGTCTCCTTACCTGCACAAAGTCCATGTAGTCCATGCGATAGAGATGGTCGCCGGACAGAATGACCACATCCTCCACGTGCTTGTTCTTCACATCCTGCCACACCCAACACCGCCACGCCGCACGGATACTATGAAGCGCGTAACATAATGTGCGCGGAAATCCTTGTCCTTGTATTTACGTTCCATTAAGACAAAGAAAAGACAAAGCAAACGTGAAACTGGTCCGTGAAGAGCGAGCGACGGTCGCACCTCGAACAACCAGGAGAACTGCCGCACGGCGTCGGCGGTTCCTTGGAACCAGTTGGAGCCCGTCGCAGGGGTCTGGGTGGCCGCAAGAGCCTGCGAAAGGGAGAGCCAAAAAAAAAAAAATCAAACAAACAAACAAAACGGTTGGCACATTTATTCAGTGTACGGATGCCGGATAGTGCTACATGGAAGCGACGAGCTGCACGAGGGTACGCACCTCGACGAATCCGTCGCCGAAGTTGACGCCGTTGCCGAAGTTGTAGGTGCGCGCCAAGTGACGGTTGAGCGAGGCGGAGTTGAACTGCGTGAGGATGTACACCTTGTTGATGCCGCTGTTGATGCAGTTGCTCATCGGCACGTCAATCAGCCGGTACGCGCCGCCGATAGGCACCTGGCGAACGGGAAGATTGACAGGATAAAGATTCACCCGTCAGCCCCGACATTTCATGCAGTATCTGCCTACGAAATTACGGCACGCGTCTGATTTGGTGAATGAATTCGACGGCTTATATGCGTACCGCGGGCTTGGCGCGGGTCTTGGTGAGAGGGAAGAGACGCGTGCCCGCACCTCCACCGAGAATCACCGAGACGACCGACTTGGGATCGGCGCGCTTTGTCCTTGCCTGCCATGGATGAGAAATGGCGTACGAGGTCAGTCAGCTATCAGAACTACTTCCCAAGGAGAACTATGGACCAACGCTAGATTGAGGCTACGGCGAGGTCTGTCCTTACCACAGACTGCTGTGGTGTGGCTTCGGCGAGAACGGCGGAAACGGCAGCTTTCTTGGCTGCGCGCACCGCAACCTTCTTAGACTCGCATCTCAAGGCCTTGCCTTTCAGCCCCGACTGCGCAAATCCTGCAACTTTCTCGCCCGAAAACGCCTTCCTGGACGCGGCATCGCTGGCCGATACGGCTGCAGGGACCGTCAGGCTTCGGACAGCGGTGGCAGCCATTTTAGAGTTATCTAGCACTCCTGGATGTGGAAAGATGTGCTAATCTGTGTCAAAATTCCACGACTCCTGTCTAGGAATTCTGCTGGTCGCTCCTTGTGAAACAGAAGCAAGAACAGCTACGTAATAGAAGCAGCATCCTTTCTACGCCTGCTCCACTGTACCATGGGGAATTGTGGGGAATTTTGGCACTGTGGCTTATCTTCCAGACCTAGTGGATGAGAACGCACCTTGGCAGGTGGTCCCTGATCCATGGCGGAAAGCTGCCAGCGTGGCATGCCGCTGTGCTGGCGACGGTCGTCTGCCTACTCGCCAGGCACTCGGTGCCAAACAAGTGCCTCGAGAAACTCGTGCCCCGTCACGCGCACGGTCGTCCGTCAGCGATCTCCAGGAAGATCCGTCGCTGGTAACATGCGACGGAGCCACGTGGCGAAGGCTAAGAATTTGTGGGGGGTCATGGACGGACATGGAGGCCCTTCGCTTCTCTTCTCAGCCACTGGTTAGAACGAATCAAAAGATATTCGTACTCCACTTCAAGGCATCTCTTGAACCCTTTATCAGATTAATGCTGGAACTATAAATCGTACGTTGTTACAATATTAATATGATTTGAATCTTAACTGAAACGTTTCAAACATAGTCGTAGGAGCTCGGATAGTGCTGACAATGAACCTGCTGGTGTGGTGTGCTGAAAAAAATGGATAAGGGTAGTGCTTTTGGTGAGAAGAAACGCCATCATAACAGTATGGAGATCGATCGGTGCAAATTGACAACAGAAATTTATATATCTTCAACTACTCATTTACCTAGTTCCATCCATGTCATTGGCCTACCTAGTATGTACAATATCTACAAGCATCCTCACTATTAACAGCGAAGAGCTAACATCCCTCAGGAAGACTCGTACTGTGACCAGTACAGCAGCATCTCAACTTTCAAGCCCCTCGGAAAAAGTCAGATGCACTTGCGTTTCCTTCACGCAGCACATGCCCTCTCCCGCCCACCACCTCATTGCACTCAGGACAACGAGACTCCACCCACGCCCTGCCACACTCCCCTATCACATACACATGCCCGTTCGGGCACCGATACCAGTGCCCTCCTCCCAGGCCTATCGCTCTGTACACATCACCCTTCTCACGCTCCGTCAGGGCGAAATAACGTGGCGCGTCCTCAACAGATGCTTCTAGGGCAGGCAGGTCCTCATCGAGCAGTTTTCGAGCGCTTTTTCCAAGGCTGGCCTCGTCTCTGATGGAGAGTAAGTGGTGGAAGGCCACCATGCCACACTGTGTCCTGGCCTTTTCGAGATACTCCAGCTGCTGCTTCTTTGCCACCCCCTGCCACAAGAAAGCACACGAAGCTACCTCAAATGAACCTACGTTTCCACTCCGGAACTTGGCAGCAAGTCGGTGAAAATGTGTTAACAAGAGATGAGTCATCATGAGGGCATGGTGGGAGTTGCAGATGGCAAGCACAGCAACAGCAGTGAGCTCACCAGGGCAGTTGGGGTGTTGGAGAGCATGCGTTCCGCCATCAAGCCCTCCACGAACGCTCGCAACACATCTACCAGCTCCAGCCGCGCCCTCGCCTGCAGCCGCACCGCCTTGCGCCTACCAGCCCACTCCACCGCCTCCCCCACATGCCTCTCCGCGCTCCTCACACTCGTGCGCACCACTTCCCTGCACCGCTCGACACAGCGGGTCAGATACACCACCTTCCTGCTTCTGCTGCTGCTCTCCCCGCTCATGCCAGCCACTGTCCTCCGGAGATTCCCAAGGAGGTTCCGCAGTTGGAGGAAGTTGGCAGCCATGAGCAGCTGAAAGGCTTTCCCCAGCATCATACGGGCCTCACAGAGGGGCCTGGGATCTGGGCGGGGGACATAGAGCAGCTGGCACTCCTCCTCCCATGTGGATTCAGACGAGCCTGCACGACCCTGCCTGCCCTTCCCACTGCCACCGACTGCAACCCCCCCACCGCTGCCACTGCTATATGTCCCGCGGGACCTGTGCCCGAAAAGGTAGTGCTGTCTCTGCAGGGCTGCTACAGATGCCTGGTAGGTCTGCTGCGTTGGTGGGTTATCAGCGGTAGCACACAGCTGGCCTCCCTCATGCACCAGGCGTGCTGCCGCCTGAGCTACCTCCTGCAGCCGCCTGGGCTGAGCGGATTCTGTGAGTGATGAAATCACCTGGCTCAACCGCGCTAGCTTCCTCTGCACCGCTTCGTGGTCTGCCAAGCAGCTGAGCGCGAACTTGCGCTCTGATTGGTCCAGCAGGGCCTTGTTGACCATCCTGCCGTACCGGCGAAGCCCTGTGATTGGCTGACGGCACTCCGGGCAGCCCTTGAGCATGGACAAATCACCATCCTCAAACGGTAGCACTGCCACCCACTTGCGCCCACACTCCCCTCCACCTTCACTCATACCACTAGACCCACTCGCACCCCCAGTTACCCCACGAGCCCCACCACCCGCCTCTAAATACACTTGGTTCAACCCCATGTGGCCATCCAGAGTATCCACTGTATAAGCATGTCCGCATCCCAGTACAAGCACAGGGCTCTCATCCGGATCTATCTCCCCCAGTGTCTCCAGTGTGACTAGATCCACTGTCATCCCTTTCTTCTCTGCCGCCCCACACCCAGCAGCCGTGCAAAATGCCTCAGAAGGGCATTTCTCAGCACAGAGAGACGGACACTGGTGGCCGCATTTGAGCGTTTTCGCACACCGCTGCTCGCAGGGGAGGCGGTCACAGGGAGCGCCGCAGGGGAGGGAGCACGCCCCCTGGTGACTGCAGCGCCACCCGCAAGGCTCGGCGCACGGGGCACAGGTTCGGTGGCAGGGCTGGGGGCAGGAGCTGTGCTGGCATGCCACAAGGCACTTGCGCGTGCAGGGGTTGCAGGGTCGGTCGCTGTGACAGGTGTCCGGGCACAGATGGCCGCAGGGGAGGGGCCGCTCGCACCGCTGCATGCACTTCCTGTGCTTTCTTGCCGCCTCCTGCTGCACCTGCTGCTGCTGCTGCTGCTGTGCCTGTGTCTGCTGGGGCTCTGCAGTGGCAGCTGGGTCAACGATGCAGTGGCCGCAGGGGGAGATGCAGGTGTGCCCGCAGGAATCTGAGAGCACAGCCCCGCAGCGAGAGGTGCAGAGCTTGGGGTTGCTTGTCCTGGTGGCGGACTCGCTGCACTTGACGGTTTGCTTGTGGCCGCACAGTGGCATCATCACCTCCACTCTCTCCCTGCCATGAGCCACACAGTGGTGAACAAAAGTTCCGAGCAGCACATTCAAATTGGAACAACGACAGGCAGATTGGAACAACGAGGTGAGGAAAAAAACCCGGAAAACGGGAGGGAATAGGAGGAATTAGATGGTTGACGAAAGCCATGACAATGGATGGAAGAGGAGTCGGACAGATGAACTCACGAGCAGAAGATGGAGGTGGGCTTCTGAGCTTGGAAGCACGGAACATTGAAGGCAGGATGCCCGCAGGGGAGAGTGAGCTCCCTGATGGTGACAGAGCAGGGGCCGCAGGGCTCCCCACACTGCTTGGGGCACGTGTGCTGGTACGGACACTCTTCCAGTGGCCGGATCCTGTTGCACTCCTTGGGGCAGAACGCCCTCGCGTGTGCTCTGTCGTCGCCATGGCACCTGTTGGGTGAAGGAAGGACGACAGATAGAGTAGGGTGAGGAAGACAGAAGGATGAGAACGACGGAAGGCTCTTGACAACCATCCTACCCATCAAGAAGGACAACAACGAAACCCCAGCACGATACTTGCATGCGAAGGATGCATGTACTTCGGGCTGAGCATACATGAATCACATGGACCTAATTCTGACCTGCGGGGGCAGGTGTGGCAGCAGGGAGTGAGGCGGAAGCCGCACATCTGGGAGCACCCGCCCTCGCTGGCCTTCTCCTGGTGACTTTTGAGTCAACTCAAAAGATACCTAATAAAAACAGCACATAGAAGCATGCATGCACTTCTGACCTGCGGGGGCAGGTGTGGCCGCAGGGGGTGAGGCGGAAGCCGCACATCTGCGAGCACCCGCCCTCACTGGCCTTCTCCCTGAACTCCCTCGCGTCATGGATGTGCGTCACTGTGTCAGCGTGATTCACACACCGCAGCGTAATGGACCGCCCAACACGCCCCCTGCTCTGCAGGATGGTTAGGATTCTGGGCCAGAGCACGGACTTGGAGCTGGTTCTCATGGTGCTGGCGTTGCCTGCTCACGGGGGAGGGATTGATGTGGAGGAAGGAGATGAAGGGAAATTGACAGCATGCGTGCCTTGCGTCAGCCTTGCCTGCCCTAAAAACGGAAATCACAAGGAGGTAAAAAACTATGCCATGCTTGCACACGCACCAATGATGTACATGCCATGCTTGGCGCGGGACAGCAGCACGTTGGTGCGGTTGGGGCTCTTGAGGAACCCGATCTTGCCGTCCATGTTGTTGCGCACGAGGGATATGATCACCACCGTGCTCTCCTCGCCCTGGAAACTGCACCCCCCCACCAGCGGTTCAACCGCACAAGCACCACAAAACATCAAAGCCCAACCAAGTCAGAAAAGGTTGTCTCATGAACGGCCTTGCTGATCTGAACAACCAACAAAAAGCAGCAGTCTCCTATTGTGCTTCTCTTCCCAAATGCATGGCACAGAGGCCACATGTTATGCATCATTGGAAAAACTTACTTGTCCACCGTGGCCAACCGCACTGCATCCTTGAGATTCGCTGTCGTCGCCTTGAGGGCAGCAGCATCCAAACCCACCCCCAACCCCTTCCCCGCCATCCACGACCCTCCAGACGCCCCTCCCCCACGTCCACCCTCCCCCGCCTCACCTCCACCTTCCCCAGTACCCCCCTTCTCCTCCGCCTCCTCCACAACCTCGGCATCCCTCTCCCCCAGGCGCACATCAACCACCTGAGAAAGCGCCTGGCGCAGCTTCAGCAGCTGCCCCACGTAGGGCGTGAGGATGGTGATTTCCCCTCCCGTGTACCCCTGCTGTAGGAGGTACGTGGCGAGCCCCACCACCATGGCCGCCTCGCCCTCGTTGGACTTGGACTTGCCTTCGTTGAAGTCGTCCAAGCCACTCTCAGGGCAGTCGTGGTCCCAGAAGTGCAGGTTGCATGCCATGCCGCGCACGTCAGGATAGCTGGTGAGGGGGCGAGAGAGGGAGGAGGGGAGGGAGGCAGAGAGGGAGCGTTGGTGATTTCCCCCCCCGTGTGCCCCTGCTGCAGCAGGTACGTGGCGAGGCCCACCACCATCGCCGCCTCGCCCTCGTTGGGCTGGGGGCTTGGGCTGGGGGCTTGGGCTGGGGGCTTGGGCTGGGGGCTTGGGCTTGGGGCTTGGGCTTGGGGCTTGGGCTTGGGGCTTGGGCTTGGGGCTTGGGCTCGGGGCTTGGGCTTGGGGCTTGGGCTTGGGGCTTGGGCTCGGGGCTTGGGCTCGGGGCTTGGGCTCGGGGCTTGGGCTCGGGGCTTGGGCTCGGGGCTTGGGCTCGGGGCTGGGGCTCGGGGCTTGGGCCTTGGGCTTGGGCCTTGGGCTTGGGGCTTGGGCTTGGGGCTTGGGCTTGGGGCTTGGGCTTGGGGCTTGGGCTTGGGGCTTGGGCTTGGGGCTTGGGCTTGGGGCTTGGGCTTGGGGCTTGGGCTTGGGGCTTGGGCTTGGGGCTTGGGCTTGGGGCTTGGGCTTGGGGCTTGGGCTTGGGGCTTGGGCTTGGGGCTTGGGCTTAGTCGTCTAAGCCACTCTCGGGGCAGCCGTGGTCCCAGAAGTGCAGGTTGACCCCCATGCCGCGCACGTCGGGGTATCTACGGAGGGACGGAGGGATTGCCTTTGAGACATTAAAAATTAAGGCGCGCGAATACTTAAAAGGCTGTCGTGGTCCCAGAAGAGCAGGTTGCATGACATCAACACATTGAGGTGCGATTGTGGAGGGCAAGACAAAAAGGAATGGGTCGATGGACGGACAGGTGGGCAATATTTCAGCTATTTGTCGACGAGTTTGAAAGAAAACCGGGACTTCGGTTCGGGGGACATCGCAGCCGGCAAAAGAGAATACCGAGAATACCGAGAAGGAAAAAGGTCAAGGTGCATACCCGTGCACGAGGGGGTGGTCCTGCAGAGCGGGGTAGATGGTGCAGCGGATGAGGTAGGCAATCTCTGGCCGCATGCGGCGCTGCGTGGCGAGAGTGTAGACCGGGATGCGCCTGGAGAGCGCGAGGCGCTCAAAGAGAGACACGTCCAGGTCGAAGCCCTTGTGGGAGTCCTTACTAAGCTCGTACACCTCCACCTTGGGCCTCAGCTGCAGATGGTCGCCTGGTGGTGGCGGTGGCACAAGGACGGAGGTGAGGCACAAGAATGGGTAGGGGAAAAATGGACAGGGGATCAATAAGGGGATGGTGATGAACAAAGGGAGTCCTTGCTCAGCTCGTACACCTCCACCTTGGGCCGCAGCTGCAGATGGTCGCCTGAAATAAACAAGTGGAAATAATGCGGCAGGAAATAAATGGAGGAGTTGGGTGAGTCCTTGCTCAGCTCGTACACTTCCACCTTGGGCCGCAGGCCCGCAGCTGCAGATGACACTCAAACCACAACCCCAGCACCTACCAATGAGAATGACGTGCTGGGTGCGAGGGGTGAGCGAGGTGAGAATATGGGCTTCCAGCACCTCAGCAGCCTCCTCCACAATGAGGACGCGTGGGCCAAGCGCCGTGATGAGTTGCTGCATCTTGGCCACCCCGGACGTGGTCATGCCCACCACCTGCGCCCTCTCTAAAATTTCCAGCTCCTCCATTTGCTGCAGCTCGCTGCGCTCCTTCACCTTCCTGCTCAAACACATCACAGCACAGGTGCCGCTCAGCATGCACATTCGCAGCTTGCCAGCAAAGAGCACAGAGATTTGTGCGAGGAAAGGCGTGAGATTGTGTTGTGGTACCTTGCAAAGCTCTCAACCTCGGCCTCGATTGCGGCATTCGCTGTGTCCCTCAGCTCTCCCACCCAGTGCTTTAGCAGCTTCCGCCTCTCCTGCGCGCTGGTTGCCCATGGGTCCGCCACGCACAGCAACTCCTCCACCCCTCGGTCACTCCTTTCATCGACCTCCTCTGATTCCATCTCATTCTCCTCGATCTGATTCTCCTCCACCTGCTCCTCCCATTCGCCCCTGCCAGTTTGGTTTCCCAAGTCACCGAATGCCTGAGACAGATCCTCCACGGTAATCCCTCCTTGCTGCTGCCCGCCCTGGCTACCCCACATGCCTCCCCTTATCTCTGCCCCACTGCTCGCGCTTCCAAATCCCGCTCCTCTCTCCAGCCCTGCTCCCCCTGACGCCCCATACCCGAGCCAGGAGTGCAAGCCAGCAGCAGCACCACTGCCTGTGGCCCGTCCTGCACCACCACTGCTGCCGCCTCTAACATGTCTTGGCCTTCTCACCACCGCCTCACCGTCACCATCATTCCCATCATCACTCCCATCACTACCATCATCCCCATCACCATCCCCATCCCCATCATCATCAACATAGATGGACGACATGAGCTCAACGAGCCCTCTCAGCTCATCCCCCACGCCGCCATCTCTCTCATTGCTGCTCACATGCCACCCCTCCCCAACCTCAACCCCTCCAAGCCTTCCCAAGGCTTCATACGGATTCTGAGTAGGCCCCTCATTGCTGGCAGTCGATACACCCACCTTTTCCCTGTCCCCTATCCCCGTTTGCATCATTCGAGGAGGTACATCAAGCCTGACGGAATCTCTTCCCTGGTTAAAAGCTCCCTTTTTGCGGCGGGGAGTTTTCTTTGGCAGCCCTCGCTTCCACCGGCCCCAGTTGTCTTGACCACCCACTTCCTGCCAAGGGAGCAGCAAAAGCAAAACGGTCAGGATCAGGCGGACGTTGGAGTTGCATTGTGTGCGGAAATCCCGAAAAAGAGGAGATAAAAAGCATGCGCCCTTCAACCGTCCAACCAACCCACCTGAAAACCGTCGTTGTCTGCCGCCTTGCTGGCAGCATGGAGGGCATAGAAGTAGCCGGGGTGGTTGGCGAGGAGGTGCGGGGCGATGGAGCGGCAGGCGAGCGAGAGGGCATTGTCCGTGCGGTGCTGCAGGGCATCGCTGTGTGTGCGGATTACCGCCTCCACCTCCTTGAGCCTGCTGTGCACCTCGTAGGTCGACTGCCTGTAGCCTGCATGCACAACCATTATCATGAGCCGACACCAGACAATGGACAACTCTTGAGACGTCTCAAAAGTCACCTCGTAGGCCCAGTTCACGCGCACACAGGAGGACACAGCAGGCAGGTGCGGAAGGTGTGTCCTTCTGCGCACAAGACTCTGTTTCTTGTTCTTTTCCTCGTAATAAGGCTGCACTTTTCTAATGCGAAAGATTGGCAAGGCCGCAACTCACTGCGGCTGTGGTGAAGGTGCGTGTCTCGCATGATGGTGGCCAGATTGAACTGCTGCAGAGACTCGCACCTGCTCTGCTCCTTCCCCCCCACTCAAAATTACTTCCGAGTCAACTCAACAAGTCAACTAGACTACTCACTGCGGCTGTGGTGAAGGTGCGTGTCCCTCATAATGGTGGCCAGATTGAACTGCTGCAGTGACTCGCACCTGCTCCTGCCCCCCACTCGCACCACCTGCCCACGCAGACATCATCGCAAGTATCACCACCACAGCAACATCCTCAGACTCCTTAGAAAAAAGCACGGGGCAAGGAAGGATGACACATGCTATTTGCTGCCCCATGTATCACTCCTAGCTGGAGGAAGGCCAGCAGCAGCACAAGGAGCGTCGCAACGCACAGCCCCACCCACAGCAACTGAACTCACGTTCTTGATGCCACTGGCAGTGAGGCCCTCCAGGAACTGATCCAGCGCATGATTGGTGAAGCACACGCACAGGATGAGACCCACACAAGGGCTGGGACTCGCAACAACCCGCGCAACCCAGCACGGCCCCTTGCATCAACTCACGTTCTTGATGCCACTGGCGATGAGGCCCTCCAGGAACTGATCCAGCGCATGGTTGGTGAAGCACACGCACAGGATGGGACCCAGTCGACCGCCCCCACTGCTTGCTCCTCCAGAGCCAGTGGTCTTGAGGGCGTTGCTCAGCAGAATCTCCACCAGCTTTATTCCCACAAACGTCTGCCATGCCACACAGCAGCCTCAGTTAGTATTGCACGTACAGTCTACGCACACTTCCTCTGCCAAACGGCAAAGATGAATGCTTCAGCAACACAGTGACAGACACAGCTGAGAGCGTGGAGCAATCACCTGGGGGTGTGACGCACATTCATTTCCTACCCTTCCAGCTAATTATCCCACTCTGTCAGCCCACCCACCTACCCACCCACCTACTGACCCAACTCAGAGGCGCCTCACAACCCACCTTGCCGGTTCCTGGTGGGCCCTGAAGCAGAGCAAACTCCCGAGTCAAGGCGGCCTGGAGAGCCACGGCTTGGGGATGGTCCAGCGAGGTGCAGCGCAGGACAGGATCGATGGGAAAGGAGGTGGGGTTGGAGATAGGCACGTTGCTCAGGGCAAATGCGTCCTCTGGGGCATTCTCTGCCTGCGGAGATGAGGGCTTCGTCTTGAGCAGCAGGCTCAAGTCATACCTGCAAACAAAACAAAGCATACCCGGGAGTTTAGTTGCTCTAGCATCTGCCAAAATGCCGAGGTTCAAGAGAAGCAACCAATGCCAGCTGCTTGCGGATCGTATTGCCCACTCCTGATCTGTCCCCCCTTCCCACCCAGCCCTACCCCTCCACAACGAGAACTGCCAAATATCTCTCACAACCCCCCTTTCCCCTCACTCCAATCCCCGTGCCTTTTACATCATCCCTGTTTCGATGTACGCAGGCAGCGTATACCCCAGAGTCGCAGCAGCCCCGCCAGGTGCCCCGCCAGGTGTTCTACCAGGTGTCCCGCAGATGTATTCAGCAAAGGGCAGCGACGCCTCAGTGATGCCCTGCAGGGCCTTGAGAATGGGCTCGTACGCAAAGAAGCTCCCATGCGCCTCCAGCATCACCACCTGCGTGCTCCCCCCACTCCCTGCACCCCCTGCACCCCCTGCAGTCCCCCCTGCAGTCCCCGCACTGCCGTCTCGGGCGATGAGCCCCAGCAGGTGTGCACTGAACCCGTTGCCTCCACACGGTTGCACGCCGATCTGAGGCCGGGCGGTGGCGAGCCTCTCCGTGTCCCTCGCTGTGATGGTCGCGAACACGAGCCGGTGCGAGCAGCTTGCATCTGCGCTGCCTTGCTCCCTGGGCTCCCTGGGACGCTGCTGCTGGCTGGGACGGTGCTGGCTGTGGCTTGGGTGGATGTCTCGAATCCACAGGCACACCAGGGAGCCGTTCTGCAGCCTTCGAGTGTTCTCCCAGAACTCCAACCTGTAATGCAGGCAGGGACGATGTGATTGTTAAATGGACTCATTCCGAGCAGGATAGATCTCGCGCGAACGCTGCACATGCGCCATCATAAAAACATGAGAGACACAAATCCGCAGCACATTCTTGACATGCCGTACCATGAAAAAAAAAAAACAAACAAACAAATTGACGTACCTGTTACGGGAGCGCCGGCCCCGTGGCATGGGAGGCTCCAGAAAGTCGATCAGAAAGTAGACGCCACTGCGCTTATCAGTGTTGATCGACAGCACGTGCACGTCCCTGAGCAGATACACATCCATGTCCTCGGAAGAAAACCCCACCACGCCCTTCATGTCGTCCGCCAGACCCCTCACCACCTCCCTGTCCGCCCGCACCAGCCCCATCGCCTCCTCCCTGCCCCCACTGCTGCTGCTGCTGCCACTCCTCCAGCTGCCGCCTCCGCTGCTGCTGCTGCCATCGCCACGGGCGGCGGTGGAGGATTCGTGGTTGAGGCGGTGGAGGAGGAAGAGCGCCTTGCTCCAGAGGGGGGCAATCAGATCGTGGCGCAGCAGGCGGAATTGGATGTCCACGTGCCGGGCCACGGAGCCCGCAGGCAGGTGGTGCGGCTCGCTGGCGTGGTTGTGCGGGAGGTATGGTGAGGACTTGCAGAGAACCTCCTGCATGGTTGGCGCCACTGAGATCTGCAGTCAGGCAAGGGAGTCAGTCACCAGGACAGGAGACCATTAGCACGTGGTTAGGCCAATTTTTTTTTTTACTTGGAAATTATTCTTGTAGATTGCAACGGGTTGAATATAATAGCTGGATATTCAGTAGAAACTTCTACTGCTGACATAGTAAATCTGACAGCTGTCATTTAGCATGTCAGACAAAAAATCCAGGAAGTTGAATCTTACAGCGGAAATATCCACATGGTCGTTATCATGCCTCGGCCGGCCAGCCAAGCTGAGCTCACCCGGCCCATCCACAGCCTGCATGCTTGACAGCCGCTGACCTGCAGCAGGGCAAGTTACTATCAGTTCGCGTCAAGTGACATCGATGATCATAGAAAACGCTTCATTTAAGGAAACATATTCCTGAAAATAAACCTATCAGTCAACAAGGCGAACCTGAAGGGAAGAAGTCTTCATGCAGCATCTGCCCTTCCTCCGCCCTCCGCTTCTGTCTCTCACTGTGATTCCTCACATCAACAGCCCTCCTCAGCCGATAGATCACCGACCGCAGATGGTGGTACCTGCCATCAAACACCGGCTGCTCCCTCTGCCAACTCTCCAGCATACCCTCCAGCTCCTGCAGGTCCCTGCTGGCCTGTGCAGCGGCGAACAAGGAGTGAAACCGCAGCATGGTCTCGTGAAAGAAGCTGAGCACGATGCCGAATGCCACGTCCCACTCCCTGATGCCTCCATCGTCTCCTCTCCCGTCTGCTCTCCCCAGATCGCGGATCAAGCCGCGCTGGGTGAGCAGCCTCATGCAGGCGACGAGGTACTCTTGAAAGCCGTCCACCTCGGCCATGGCTGCCAAGGTCGTGTTGACCTTGCTTGATGCTGGGTTGTTGAAGAACGCGGGCTGCACACATAAACGGAAAAATATCAACAGAAAAAAGCGGATACGATATGAGAGGATAAGACATGCAGAAAAAAAGAAACGGGGAGAAAGAAATGGATGAGATATGAGCTCTCCTGAAAGTAGCTTCTGTGAGAAAAAAGACCAAGTGAAATAGGTTACCTGACAAATGACTTGTAGCATTGGTAAAATCACGCTCTGGAAGGAAACTGTCCGAGGGTGGTTTCCGGCTGATACAGATCTTTCAGCACCGCAGCACACAGCCTCCTCGCAGATGCTCAAAAGCTTCCTCCTACCATAGAGCTTGTCGTCAGCAAGGACGATCACCAGATCTGCACCACCACACAGGACATGAGAATCATTGCTTACGTCAGTCGTACGTCAGTCAGCATCGTGACATAAAAAAACGCAGCTAACGAGTCAAAGGAGGAATCGAAGGAATGGATGACGTGCCTGAAACATCGTGACCCTCCATTGCTTGAGCAAACAGCCTCATCTGAAACTGATTCGTAAATTCCCGGTCGTTCGGCAAGAAGGTCCACAGGCTCGGGACCCTCCTCTCCTGCCCGTCGGAGCTCGCCGAACCTCCTCGCCCTCCTCCGCCTCGTCCTCCCCATCCCCTGCCGCTCCCACCACGACCCTGACCTCCCTGATAGAACCCAGGCTGCTGATATCCCCCAAGCTGAAATCCGCCATGCCTTGGAGAATAATCGTCCGTTGCGCTTCCGGAGCTTCCTGGTCTGCCGCCATGGCCGCCGAAAGTCCTGCCTCGTCCTCGGTTGCTTTCCCGTGGAGAGCGGAGCGAAGAATCCATCGCGCTGAACAGCCAGAGAGGCGTCTGACGACCTCTGGAATGCCGCTGTTGGCCATTTACACGAAGCAGCAGCGACAATCTACGCGGATTCGCAGGTTACTGTACAACGCCCAATGTCGTATGAATGGGCCTGATGCGAATGAGTCGCGCGCGCATGACACGATGCCAGATGGCAGCTCGTTTCACGATGGTCCTCTCGCCTTCTTCACGGCAAACGGTTGGGTATTTCGTAGGAGAGGCTTCCTGCACGCCATGCAGAGCAGAATGCGCTAAACTGGGAATTCATTGGGAGAGACGAACAAGTGGGCGAAACAATAAGCTCGGCATGCTTGAGACAAAACGGATATGAACCGAACATTTTTGCGCCGTATTGGGTATAGGATAGGATTCCGATATGATGGGCATCAACTACAGGTTCTCCTCCAGATAGCATACAGTATTCATAATGTATGAAGATAATACTGGAACATCTGTTTCTTTCTTGAAGAACACGATAAAGTTGCACACACCCGCACGATGCCATTCCACACCGCGCCGCACAGAAATCATGCTTGATAGGCTGGCTGACTCGTTTGCTGTTTGGTTGGTAGGCTGGTAGGATGGTCGGCTGGTAGGCTGGTAGGCTGGTAGGCTGGGCTGGGTGAGCAGATGGCTGAACGGTGGTAGCTGCTAGGCTGTGTGACTGAGTGGATGGTTGGTTGGTTGGTGGCTGTGGCCTGGCAGGTGTGATTATGTGAGGCAACCCCTTTTTCTTGGCAGTCCCTGTCATCCTGAGAGGGGTTTGCCTGTAACATGGCCTGTTTGTGGTGCCGCGTTCTGTACAGGGCTAAGGGATCATTCCTGCCTTGACACTTCTGTCTCAATCCCGCTTTTCCCGAGTTGCGCCTGTAAATTTGCCCATTTACGCGTCACAAAAAAGCGAATGTACCGCGACATTGTGCGACCCAGAGTGTTGTACATTTGGCGTCATGTTATTGGGCACACCCAAATTGACTCGAGCGCACTCATTTTGGCGCCGGGCAGGCAGGTTGTACCATGGACAGCAACTGATGCTGGGCCGACTGGGTGAAACCACTACCTAAACAAAGGCACGATGCAATCACAACTACAAGTACATAAACACTCCGTCGCATGCACAGCACTGCCTCCGCACAAATCAGCCATGGCAGAGCCCAGGGATGTTCCCTTCCTCATGCGACTCCTAGTCGCATGGATCACGTTCTATTACGGAATCTTCATGGACGTGGTCGCCCAAGGGGTCAGCGGCTTGTTGGAGTCGCATGTGGTGGACGATGACATGTCGTCGACCACGACCTCGCACAGCTCCACCAGGTCAACCGAGCGTGCAAGAAGGCGCGGCTTGCGGCGACGGCGTTACCAGCTTCTGCTAGAGGACCTGCAGGGAATGGGAGATGGGGAGTTGAGGGACATGTACAGAATTAACAGGGCTATTCTCGACTATGTGGTTGACGGCATGAAGTACTACATGCAGCCTTACGTAGATCGGTATTTTATTACCCACGAAGTGGCAAACCTTGTGCCGATAAAATACCTGGCGAGTGCACCATCGTACATGGACCTCTCTCACCTCTTCGGGTTGTCGAAGACCTTGTGCCACGAGCTCGTCGACGTGTGGCTGATGCATTTCTGTTCGGTCTTCAGACAGTAGTGGGTGCACTTCCCCACCCGCGACGACCTTGACGAGATGGCCGAGGAGTTCCGCGCCGTCAAAGGGGTACCTGCGGTGGTGGGGGCTATTGACGGGACACACGTACACATGAAGGGGATGGAGGGTCACAGGCAAGAGTACTGGACACGGAAATCGGCTTACGCCGTGCAGTTGCAGGTGACGTGTGATGCTCGCGGCATCATCTGGGACTTCCTGATCGGATACCCTGGGAGTGCACACGATCAACGCGTGTTCATGGACAGTGCGTTACATGAAAGGCTGCATAACGGCGACATAGCGCCGTATCAAATAGTCGGTGATGCAGCCTACCCCCTACGGGATTTCTGCTTAACCCCCCTGCATGCACCCCGCGAAGGCCTAATAGAGGATTGGGAGCAGTGCTTCAACTACTGCCAGAGCGCGACGCGCATGGCTGTAGAGCGCTGCATCGGCGCCTTCAAAGGCAGGTGGAGGCTCTTTGCAGGCCGCAATGACTGCAAGCTATGGCGCGTGCTTACAGGGGCGTCTTGTTGTGTAGTCCTGCACAACATGTGTGATACGATGGGGGATGTGAGGCGCGTCAATGCGGCGTGGGCCAACTTGCCACGGAACAGGGATCCATGGTGGACCCGCGGCGCAGTAGCAGATTTCAAATGGGAGCCGGTCATGCCATGCAACCAGGTGACATTGCGTGAAAGGCGGAAGAGGCTCGGCGAAGCATTGGAGTCATCTTACCTTACTCGGCGTCGCCGCGAACCCACACTTCCTCGGCCTCGTCCGGAGTAGCTCCGACACCACCGGCCTCACCGCGACGGAACCATCCTCCGTCGTCGCCTTCGGCGGCGGTCGGTGCGGGCTGGTTGGCCGCATCCGCGGGGACACTGTTGACACCTGGTGGCGGTGGGGCCGGCCCCTGGTTGCGGGAGCGGGCAATCTCGGCGTCTTGCTGCATCCAGGCGCGGACGAGCCCCTCCAGCTTTGCCATCGCATCCGCGTGGCAACCCTTGATGGTGTCGGAGACCAGCTTGGCCGCAGCCATGGTAGCCGTCTCCGCAACACGCGGGCGCTTAGAGGGAGGTGTCACCGGAGGGGGGGCTGCAGTGTGTTCACAACGCAAAGGCAGTGCACACATGGACGCTTTGTCATGTTGTTGCTATGATTGCGCATTCTCATGTTGTTGCAGTTAACACACGCAAGCCTTGCCGGAAGTGTTGTTGCTAATTTGCGCAGTGAAAACCAAATGACCAAAAACATAATGACTCACCCGTGAATGTCGGCGTAGAGGTGCATGGCGCGGACGTCGAAGGCACCGCGAACCCGCACGGCACGTTCACGTGTGTGGCCCCGCCGGCGGCGACGGCGTGCGGCGCAGCCACTGCCCGGTTGTCCATGTACGGCCACCACGGCGGCTTACACACCACACCGTTACCGGACGCCTTGTCCGCCTTCTGCAACTGCTTGAACATGGAGACGAGGTTGCGCCACTGCTTCTGCACGGCGTTGACGCCGCGGACCCATCCAGGATTTTCGGACTCGATGTGTCGCACGAGGCGGGCCCAATACTGGGACCCCTGCTTCCCCAGCAGCGGCTCTAGCTCATCCTTCATGAACCAGCGGGCGGCCACGAGGATCGTGCTCTCCCGGGGCGACCACACGCTGCGCTTCACCGGCATGGGGTCGCGGGTCTTTGGTGCGCGTCGAGGTGGCTCCCCGCCCTTGGCGGCGTTCTTGACCCCCGATGCCGCCTTTGCAGGACCGCGGCGAACTGGCGGGGTAGCAGGCTGCGATTCCTCCGGTGCGTCCTCGTCGTCGGTCCCCGCGTCATCGCCGTCTTCGGCGGCATCAGAGTCAGACATGCCCTTGTCCTCCTCTTCCCCGGAGTCCGCCTCGTCGTCGGTGCCATCGGCCTCCTCGTTGTATTCGGCGTCATCGTCTTCCTCTCCGTACGTGTAAATTTCGGGACTACGCGATGATGCCACCCGGTCAGACTGACGGCGCCCGCGGGTCGGGACGTCACGCGGGGCTTGGTAAGAGGTGTCGCCACGCGAAGGAGTTCCTACTGGCTGCGGGCCAGATGGCTTGCGACCTGCGGACAGCTGCTTGTTCATCCAAGCAATATACGGGATCTCATTGAGATCCCGCGGGCACACGTCGGCGGCTTCAGCGGCGCTCTTACGCTTACGCGCCATGGCAGGCAGAGGGATTGAGAACTAGCGAGAACGAGAAACAAGACACACGGAATGGATGGTGAACAAGATGGGCTTGGATTCATCCTGGAAGCAGGATGGAGAGGTGGCTCAACATGTGGGGTGGTTTCGTCGGGCAGCCTCGCGTGATACACCAGCAAGGAAACCCCTTTCGAGGCTGCCCATGGATGGCGGTTTTGTTTCCCGCGCTAAATTGTCATGTCATCCAGCGTCCAGATGCATGCGGTCGGGCAATGCAATTTCCCGACATTGGTCGTTAGTGCGATTTCAAGGAGATGACGGGGCCTCGTCCAACTCGTCCGCGACACCAGCGCAAATGACGCTGGCCAGTGTAAAATAGGGTTACATTCGCATTACAGCGACACGCTTTTGTGACATTGCACGTTTTATGTTGTTTTTGTGCGTCACAATACTTTTGAGACACAAGTGTCAAGGCAGGAATGTTCCCTAATTTTTGGGTTTAAGCAACCCTTATCATCAGTCCTGCACCTTTGCAAAACCCTGATTATCAGTGTGACCCCTTGGGAAAATTCTTTTCTATCAGGGTTTTCCATAGTTAAAAAAAAAAAATACCCTTATGCCACAGTGTAACAATTTTCAATACCCTGATGAAGTGTTTCTACTGAAGTTCTACATAAAACTGAGGGCTACACAAGATTCGATCTCGAATCATCATCCTTCCGAAATCCAATCTACCGACCGAGCCACTCCAACGTGAGTATTCAAGTAGCTCAAATTATTAGGTCTAAAGTCATTCTACCGGGACAGAAGTGCGAAGGCGAATTAAAGCTGCAGTATACATTTGTCAGCCGGGTTTAGGGTTTTTATTGTGTGCCTCACAGCTTTGGGGCAAATTTTCAAATTTCAAAAGTTTTTGAACCCAACCTTTCAAATGTATACTGCAGCTTTAAGGGGGAGGGGGTTAGGGGGAAGGGGGTGGGGGGGGAGGGGGGGGGGAGGGGGGGCATGTTACTCGCTTCAGGGTAAAACTCGTTATGAAATCGGTAACCCTGAGTCATCAGTGTGCCTTAAATGTAAACCCTGGCATATCAGGAAAATTCTAGCTCCCGAAAAAATTACCCTAGGCCATCAGTGTGACTACCGAAAACCACCCTGATAATCAGGGTATCAGGGTGATTTACACTGATAAAATTTGCCCTGGTTCTGTATGTGCATGCATGCTTCATCCCCTGCAGTGTATGCCCTGCACGCACTGTTTACCACGCGACCGCATCAGAGGCGTGTGCGTCTCATGCCTACTGCACCTCACTGAACGAGGGCTTGGCAAGCAGCAGCCAACTCCTGCTCATTTTTTCAACGCACAGGTCGACTTACTGTCATTTCAGCGCTGTGAGCGAGGGCCTGGGGCAGCCAAGTCCCCATCAAGCCACGGCAGACCATCGGGCAAGTCTCACTTCACCCTCACTCAGGGGACGTGAACAGGACGTGCCCTGTAGTAGCTATCTTAAGTCCTGCTCATGCCTCGGCATGCCATTGGCCATGCCATCATGCGAGTGGCACAGCACTCGCAGGAGGACACTCCGTCCTGCTTGGGTGTTTGTGCCCAGGCGCCTTCCAGTGTGCCCACTCCACCCTCCTTAAGTACTACATGCAGACCCATCCCAGCACAGCACAGCGCAACACATCACAACTAGCACACCTACGCACACCTACACACACCTAGGCGAAGCTAAGCATGGATAAGCACAGTGAAGAACAGCTAGGCACAGCCAAGCACAACAACAACCCATCTTGACCTCTTGGTGGTAAACCGCCATACTGCCTCAGCCCACATGTCTGCAACCTCGCCCTGCACATCACCACAAGAGCCACTTTATGAGATATGGAGGAAAGAGGAAATGGAACAGGGGGGCACTTGCAAGCTGCAAAAGCGCACTACACCACACAAGTGAAGCTTTTAAGGCACGAAGTGAGAAATGTATGGTATGTTAGCAAGGCCAGCAACTTTCCCCCCCAGAATCTCCCACCACACCCACCATGTAGAATAAGCAGCAGTGCTGTTGCTGCCACTGCTTCCCCTGCAGTTGATGCCAGGGACAGCAATGCGACATGTAGAGGGGAGGAAGGGAGAGAGGAGAGAACGAGCAAATAAGGAGAAGGATGAAGAGAGACGATTAAAGCCTGGACAAGAACACAACCAATAGCAAGCAACCAACACATACAGGAAACTCGGAAGCACTTGGGGAAGTTGTAATCGCCTGTCCATTGCTGAAGTTGAAACCTAGCAAGCACCCCCTGGCACGTACCGCATTCCAGCTAAGTGCTTCCTCCTCCTTGGCAGAACCTGCGGTTCCTTCGGCACGCCTTCGCCCCAAGCAGCACCCTGCTGCTGCCCGTGCTCCAGGCTCCAGAGGTGCTGCTCCCAGTTGTTCGTCGTGTGCTGGTGATATCCGCCATGGGAGCGGTCTGTGGCTTGTGAGATGAGCCAAAGGCAACCAGTGGCGAGATTATAGAGGAGAAAGCAGTGAAGCACATGCTATAGAAGTGATGAGCGTGTGGCATCACAAAAGGCAAAGCGATCGGAGGAGAAAATACTTGGCTGAAAATCAGGGCGCCGCTGCTACTGCTGCAACAAACTCACCAGTGCTTCTACATTCACCAGCGCTGCTGCTGTGTCTCGGGAAAGAACGATGACCACAAGCTTGTCACCCCCCATCCACTCCCTGCCATTCCCCTCCATCTCGCAGGCCGAGAAGCACACACAAGCGAGGGGAGGGACACACGCAGACAGAAGCAGCGCAGCAAAGGAGGTTTGGAAGCAGCATGAGAGAAGGAGAGTGGGGGAGGCAAGGACAACAGACACGACTCTTGCCTCTGCGCGGCGACCACTACGACTCAATTCACGGCCCCCCTGCAAGCACCCCCTGCCACGTACCACGCTCCATCCGCTGCTCTCCCACTCCTGCGCCACACCTTCACTTGAGGCGTCCCCGTGCTGCCAATGCTCTCCGCCGCGCAGGCCACGAGGCACACACACACATGGGGAGAGAGGGACATGCACGAACACATGGGGAGAGAGAGACACACACACATGGGGAGAGAGAGACACACACAGAAGCAGTGAAATAAAGGAGGGTTAGAAGCAGCAGGCGGCGAGTGGTGGACCCGCAAGCAACAGACACGACTCTTGCCTCTGCGCGGCGATGCCTTACGACTCAATTCACTCCCCCCCAGCAAGCACCCCCTGGCACGTACCGTGCTCCCTTCGCTGCTCTCCCACTCCTGCGCCACGCATCCACCTCAGGCGTGCTGCTCCAGGTGTACTGGAGCACACAACTGGTTGGTCAACTGGTTGGTCAACTGATTGGTCTGATGGACTCACAACTCCTTGTGTGCTGGCCTGGCCATCATCCTGACCATGAAAGGGGGAGCGAGGCGAGGGGATCATTTTAGCTGCATAGAGTAAGGCAAGAGAACAAGCCACATAGACAAGGGTGAAGGGAGACGGAGCTCTGAGACACCCTGACAAGAGCACGGGCGGCATTGAACAACCAACAAATAGAGGGAACTTGGTTGTGATAGGATAAGCTGCACTCTCACCCCTCCTTTTCTGCTGCAGCCGCCACTGCAGCTGCCATTGACGTTGCAATTGACTGACGGTGCCACCACTGGCACCGTTGCTGCCCATTCTGTTGGCTCGGCACTTGGCTATGTCTCACTCCTCCACTGCTGCTGCTGCTGCTGCTGCTGCCAATGCGGCTGCCCACGGCGCTCCCTCTGGATAGCTGCTGCTCTTCTGGTGATGAACGGGCGAAGAGTTGAGAAAAGCAGACTGCAGGAGTGGAGAGTTTTGGGAGCTGAGAGCCATGAAAATCTGGCAAGACACCAGCAAAGATATGTGGGCACCGTGGAAAGATGGTAGACATGACACGAGAACGCAAGAAGATGGCGAGTGGAGAAGCGGTGTACTGGTTGGTCTAATGGACTCACAACTCCTTGTGTGCTCGCCATCATCCCGCAGCTGTTGCAGCCACTGGTGATCCTTGCCCCTTGAGTGCTGGAGGCGAGGGGAGGATGGAAGGCAAGGAAGAGGAAGTGAGGCGTGATCAAGAAGAGGACAAGTGAGTGGATGAGAGGCCGAACAGAGTGGATGAGATGGCAGACAAAAGCTGGAGAAGAGACTGAGATAGAATGCCATGCATGGAGCATTCGAACTCCCGGTTACCTCTTGACTTGAAGAAACTTAGCAGGAGAATCAAGGCGCCGTTTCTCCCCGCTAAATGGTTGCCTCTCGTCCATTCCCCGTCCGCTCCCTCCCCCTCCGCCTTGCAGGCCATGAGGCACACACACGCACGGGGAGAGGGACACGCACACATAGAGAGGCGGTGCAACAAGTAATGGTCAGAAGCAGCAGGAGGCGAGTGGCGGAAGCAACAGCAACAGACACGACTCTTGCCTCTGCGCGGCGACGCCCTACGACTCCAATTCACGCCCCCCTGCAAGCACTCCCTGGCACGTACCATGCTCCAGCTGAATGTTTTCCAAAACTTGACAAAATCTGCAGCTCCTTCGGCCCAAGAAGCACCCTGCTGCGGCCCGTGCTCCAGGCTCAAAGCGTGCTGCTCCAGGATGCTCGTGGTGTGCTGTTGATTCATGCAACAGGAGGGGTCTGTGGCTTCTGAGTTGAGCTAGTGGCAAGATTTCAAGGAGAAAGCAGTGAAGCACATGCAATACAAGTGATAAGCTCTTGGCATTAGAAAAGGCAAAGCGTTCAGAGGAGAAAATACTTGGCTGAAAAAACAAGTGCCGTTGCTACTGCTGCTACGACTCACCAGTGCTGCTGTTGTGTCTTCACATGAGTGCAGGAACGGAGCTCGCAAGCTTGTCACTCCCTGCCATTACCCTCCGTTTCTCAGGCCGTAAAGCACACACACGCGAAGGGAGAGATGCACGCAGACAGAAACAGAGCAACAAGGGAGGGTTACACGCAGCAGCGAATGGTGGAGGGAAACGGAAAGAGA